CGTGATTGGAACATCACGTGCACCATATTTTCAATCACCAGAGTTACTCCGACGCACTTATTAAGTTTGTTTTTCGCGACCACCCTACTGAAAAAACCCATATGAAGTTATACCGGATCATACCGGTCCGGTATATTTAGACCGGAGGCCCGATAGCATTATAGCGGCGGCCCGGAGTAGCTTTACCGGGACCGGTGTCCGTTCTCCGGAGTCCCGGTGACGCCATAGCGGCGGCCCGGAGCGCTTTACCGGGACCGGTTTACTTAGCCCGGAGCCCCGGTAGCCTCATAGCGGTTGCCTTAACTGGTGTACCGGACTGTGGCTCCGGTCATAGCGGCGGCCCGGAGTAGCTTTACCGGGACCGGTGTACGTTGTCCAGTGTCCCGGTGACGCCATAGCGACGGCCCGGAGTGTTTTACCGGGACCGGTTTACTTAGTCTGGAGCCCGGTAGCTTCATAGCGGTTGCCCTAACTGGTGTATTGGACTGTGGCTCCGGTCATACCGGGCATTACCGGAACTCCAGGAAAGCAAAGCGGTCGCCCGGTGCGCTAAGCCGGTGAACCGGATAGTCATGGCGGTCACCCGGTAACTCTACTGATAAGCGGGAAAGCTGTGGCCGTTTATCAGTTCGTGATACCGCGGCGAAGAACTGAAGCGAAAAGGCCGGCGACTCGCGAAAAACGGAAATGTTTTAATACACCTGGTTTCTACAAATTTAAAGCAAATTAGGGACAATGAAATAAAAATATCTACATAAAAGTGGAGCACGCATTAAGGATGTCTGCAATTGTAGTCTGTATAAAACAAAAAGATATATATCAGAAGTACAAAAAAGGGAATTTCACCGATCTTTATAAAGAGACACAGAAAAGGTATTTATTGTCGAAATTTTTACTCACCCATCTATTGTTCAATCTGCCCCCACAAGATATTTGTAGCATCAAATCTCCTTTATTTTTAATGCTGCTCAAGAATAAGATACTCAGGTTTGCTGCCAGCTTTCCAGTCATGTCGTTACGCACGAGGTTGTTTTAAGGTTGTAGAGCAGGTGTCGCCAAACTTACACTGTCCAAGAGCCGCAATCAAAATTGTCAATTTTTCGAGAGCAGCACTGGGAAGGGGGGGGGGGGGGGGGTGACAGGAGGGAATATTGTTCTCTTGGCCTTTGCAATAACTGATTGTTTAGAAAACATACAGGAACTATGTTTCAGGGAGCTTTGGTTTCCTATCTGATCAATGTCTACCTTCATTTTCTGTTAAGTAGAGGGGAATTTCACACAAGTTGCCACACAAAATTGATGCTGCCTCAACCTAGCAGGTGGGAAGGCAGCAAAGTAGCGAATTTTAAAATCGAGATGATGTTTTCATCTAATTTGTTCCCTTCTGAACAGATCTTACTTAGAAAAGCTGATCAACATTGTATTTCATGTCATGTTTGCCGCCTGTTTCTTATTGTAATGTTTTCATCAACAAGCTTAGTGTTTCGTCCCAACTATTTTAATTTGGGAGTCCTCAGATTACGAGATCACTTGGCCAATGAAGAGCCGCATGCGGCGAGCCGAAGATTGGCCACCCCTGTCGTAGAGCATCTAAAGCACATATTCGTAATAGAATTAATCTTTGCAATGCGACTTTCATGACCAATCTGGACACAGAAAAGACGGTACTGATTTCAAGAAACTTTGAGTGAGTATAGTCACGACAATCTTGACTGCAGCAGCACTACGACATCACAGGTCTCTGTTTTGTTTGCCTCAGAGCAACGTTACTAAAACACTCAGTTGGGAAACTCGCAGTCGAAACCTGGGCCGCTGGCGTCCACCGAGACCAAGCTAAATGCGACAACAGCGCCACCCATTATCATTTGTCTGTACTGTGGTCACTCTGAGGTTTTTGAAAGCGTGTTTTGCGTAAAAACAAACGAAAAAGACTGTTTTTGTATGAAATTTATTGGAGTTTAGTACCAAATGATGGGCGCGTGATGTTTTTATCATCTTTAGTTCGCAAGGTTTTGCGGAACAATTAATATTGTTTTTATAAAACCATGCCTCAGCCGGCCTTTCAGGTAGCGCGTCCCGACCTAGGTGCATTTTAACTTCAGTAGTTCGACGCGGCGCGTCCGCCGGGGGATCGGGGGTGACCCCTGTCTAAGCCAAAAATAGAAGTCACGCGCAGTTTCTCGAGTGGCCGCTGCGGGAGAAACGGCGTTGTGTTCGTCATTAGCTCGATGCTCGGAGACAAGTTGGGGCCATATGTTTAGGGCTGTGTAACCCAAACAAGTGTAACCCAAACACTGTCACAGCACTCATACCCAATCTCGCTGTGAGGATGGTATGAAAGTGATCTGGGGGCCTTGCCTATCTAGGTGGTACTGTCTCGGGATGCTAACCTTTTGTGAACAGGAATTGCATGGCACCCGTATCTGCTGGTTTACGTAGGTCGACCTGTGTCTATAGTCGGGTTGACCTGTGTCTACAGTCAGGTCGACCCGTGTCGTAGGTCGGGTTGACCCGTGTCTACAGTCGGGTCAACCCATGTCTACAGTCAGGTCGACCAGTGTCTACGGTCAGGTCAACCCGTGTCTACGGTCGGGTCGACCCGTGTCTACGGTAGGGTCGACCCGCGTCTACGGTCGGGTCGACCCGTGTCTACGGTCGGGTCGACCCGTGTCTACGGTCGGGTCGACCCGTGTCTACGGTCGGGTCGACCCGTGTCTACGGTCGGGTCAACCCAACCACAAACAGCATGGTTCAGTCGGGTCGACCCGACCCGACTGAATACGGGACCTGTATGTCCATAACACCATATGACCCAAACGGGTAGGACCCGTACTAAAAGTATACGGTTTTTTTCAGCAGGGCACCGCCGGGGTAATATTTCCGGCTTCTGGTTGGCCACATTCGAATTTGTGAAGACGCCCCTAGAACACCCCCGCCCGCTTTCGACCAATGGCGTATCCTGATTTGCCTCCTATACTTCCCAATGAATGGCCATACTCTCTGTATACACGGCTCTGCCATATGCCGTCGAATGGCACGATCCTGGCTGTTGCCCGTAAAAGTTCCAAAGAAAAAAAAAAGTGGGGGGCGGTGGGGGGGGGGGGGGGGGGAGGGAGGAGTAGGGACGCGAGTTTTGCTGCTGTCGCTGCGTCCCTACTCCTCGCTGCTGAAACTTCAAGGGACTGTCAACCTAAAGAGCAACCTGCAGCAGAACAGGCGTCTGCCATATCAACTTCTGCTGCAGTCACACCTCCAGGATTGTGGCCGGCGACAACATGAAACTTCTATGACGCCATCAGGCAGAAATTGAGGGACCACTTTTGAGGACACGGTTAACACACCAGTAAAAAACGCGTTCCAGGAGCCTTAATACGGCAACTGTACACACGTACACGTCCGACGTTTTTTTTTTTTTTTTTTTTTTTTTTTTAAATCAGGGCAGGTATTTGTAGTGGCGGATTTACAGCTGCAGATGCGCTGCAACCACTGCAGGTGCACAATTTAATCGAAATTGTTAGTTTGAAGCAATCACGGGCAGTGAGATGGTGTTCGCATTTACACTGGAAATAAAATTCGTAACCACAGAGCTGTTTCCAGAGTGAAGAAAAAAATGAATTTTTGAAAATTTTATGTAAAGGAGATTTATTTGATTTAAATCTGATTAATTTGTTTAAAACACCGCAGCTAGAAAAATAGTCGCTCCCTTAACTGCATGCATTTTTAAACATGACAGATTGATTTATCAATCCGTCCGATCACTGATAACAATGCAGAAGAAATCATTACTGTACACTTATATTGCGGGATAACAACTTTTTATCGATGTAACCCGCACCATACTAAAACAAAACAGCTTTATGTTTTTTTTTATTAGTTAAAAAATGTTTTTGTTTTTTTTTGCGCGTTAATATTGGCTTGCAATAGAATATTACTTTTCTAATTTTATTTCATTTGTGTTCCGATTTGCTTGCAATTGGATGTTACATAACTGAGCAATAAAGTGGAAGGTCGAAAGAAAGTTTAAGGCTCCGATTTGCTCAGAAGAACACTGATTCTTTATATAAAGCTGAATATAAATATTTCTTGCTCGAGGATTGTTTGATTTCAGTATATAAATACACAAAGAAAGGATCAAATGATAGACAATCGGCAAATAAAAACTATTTTCGGGGTTATTTTGGAGAGAAAGATTTTATTTTAATAATCATAGTAAAACTGGTATGATTTAAATCGCCTTTTATATCATGATGTAAATATTTATTTAAATATTCATTTAAAACATTTTGATTTTTATTCTCCACCCTGGCTGTTTCAAAGTGCAGAGTTTTGGAGTATCGTATTCCCAAGCGCTGTGCGCACCCACGAAAATAATGTCGCCTCCACAGCGAATGAGCTGAACCCAAACCGCGCTTGGAGTTTTCGAATGTGCATGCTGGGCCCGAAGTTCTATTTATTGCATGTAGTGAAATCAAACGCGTTGTATTTCTTTCTTTCATCTCCAATAGTGGACTGATTTTGTTATATGCAAATTGCAAACTGCCGTAACACCTTTGTTTGTTAAAAAAACAAAACAACAACAACAATACCTAACTTCATGCCACTGCTTGTTAAGCAAATGCATCACGAATGTAATGTATTGCGAATGTAACACGACACTTTTGCCAATATTGACTTCATTTTACAGTTCGTCAGCGTGAAGCGCGCTAAGTATGCGTCAAGGTTTCCTTTGCGCACCATGGTCGCAGTACGGTTTGCTGAAGTAGCCTTTCGGTTCTTCCCGATAGAAAAACCTAATAGCTTATTGGGCGTTGTACCGGGACGACGGTAACGGTTGGCTAAAACGTTCTTGATGCGAAAATATACCAGTTTAACAATAATCCCGTCAGTAATATTTAACTTTTCACTTGCAAACATTTCACTCGGAGTTTGCTTGGATATTGTTTTTTTTGTTTACAGTTTCGGCTTGCCCAAACTAACTTTTTGGATGTTGCTTTCTTAAAATGGACGAAATGGAAACGTATACTGCTGCGAGCACAGCCGAGTTGGTAATAAGTTTACTTAAGTTACGTTGAAGGCTTGGACTTCATTCCTGGCAGCGGTAGCTATTTGTGTTTGTTTGTTTGTTTGTTAGATGACCTGAAACGTTTCTACGTGATCGTTATAATTGCAGCGTATGCGAACGTAAAACAATTCAGATTGCCGAGATAAGAAGGAACTAGAGCAGGTAACTGTAGTCCGCAAGTTTCAGACGGTGGGCAAGGGACTGGAAAAGGATACTGATTAAACAAACCGGCACTGCAAATTTTTAAAACGAAATAATAAAAACATCAAGTACGTACACAGACGACCACAATCTTCCAATTAGCAACAACGTTAATTCACATATAAAAAAAATGTTTTGTTACTCTGCAGTACTTAGGGGAAAAAACGACGCGTTGTCATTGGATTAGTAAGGTGTAGAATGTATTTCAAGCAGTACAAAATAGGAGCGCTCTAGTCAGCCACAGTGGTATGTCATTTATTTTTTATGGCGGATTTACTTAAAGGAGCTGTGCAACGATATTCAATTGGAATGTTTTTCTCTCTATACGAACTTACTGGCACACCTGGGACTCAAGGATACTCAGACGCAACGCCATTGGCCAAGAAACTCCTTTGTTGCGGTGTAATTTCAAGGACAAAAGCGATCATTTTCATTCAATCTCTCCTTTGCAAAATTTGATGACGTAACTCGGGGATCGCAGTACACCCAAGTGACGATATTTGAATGAGGTTCATAGATTGGACCCGAGCATTGCGTGGGCACTCGACTTGGGCTCGTGACAATTGCTAGCTCGAAAAGCATTCGGGTTGTGACCCGTGTCCAATCGCTGCAACGACGACAACAGCCGAGCCATAACAATGTCTGAAACTCAGCGCGTGTCCTGCGCTTTGCCAACCCCAGCGCGTGGCTATAATCAACACTGGCGGCATATAATCGGCTTCAGATCACGTGGCCGCTTGTTCTGGCTCCGAGTTGAGGGAATGAACGCTGCTCGTTTTTCTTAAATTTTTTTCTGGGACTTCTGTTGCGTGGGGTAAAGAACGAACGCGTGTTTCATAGGCCATTAGCGTTATGGATCCGTTTTAAGCGGTATTTGCGCAAAGTACAAAAATTGTTGCGTCGCTCCTTTAACTTTTTACGGTCAATGTTTTTTATGTGCTGGTAAATACTTGCACATAAAATGTGTAGTTTTACTATTTATCGTTCAATTTTAATTTGTCTGATATGTTTACGCTGCAGTTGCACGCAAAAACTTAAACAAAATTACTGCTAAGGAAATATTTTGTCAACTGGATCAAGTCGGATGCTGATTAAACAAAAACCGACCGTTACCAAAGCATGCAAAAAATACCGAACACAACTCGTGTCTCCCAACCATAGCGAAATATCCCAGGTGTTCCACATTCTCTCATCAAGAGATAGAAATACGTTTTACAGGATGCGCGTCATGAAACCGAGTCTACCATTACTTTTTTTAACTCAGCCGTCGTAAATCCAGATGTTTTCTTTTTCCGCTGCACTGAGTAATACATTGACGCTCTAACGCATTTAAGGTCTGGTACACAGGGGAGAAGACGTTAGCCCTAGTACTGCAATTCGATATTTTCTGTGAGGTAAGAATACTTACACTTCTTATACTCTGGTGCCGAATTTCATTTCTAGCCGTTTTATATCGAACGGCTTTGCCGTGAGCAAAAACTTTTGAGCCTGAGAAGTATATATATATATATTTCTTCATTAAGGCAACATTTATGTATGTTCTGTCTTGTAAATTAGTATAAGTACGCCATGCATGTTTCACTAATTTCGGCTTGTTGTTTTTTTTATAACTTAATTATTATTGAACATAGGTTTGAGCTATTAAATTTGGAATGCTACACTCTAAGTAGAATGCGTGGTGTTGGCGTTTTGCTCCACCGGAATGGAAAGTCCGGATTGAAGGAATCGTCCGTTTTCCCAAATTTTCTCTCTCCTTTATTTGATGGGGAAGAGACGCCGAGAACCCTAGGCGTCCGAGCTTTCGTCCTTGAGGGTGAGGAAGGAGGTCTCCTCACCCCCTAGGACGCGTGCGAAGACGTCTTAAAATTGAAAACAAGATTAATAATAAAAAAAAAAATGGGGAAAACGCACGATTTGTTTTATTCGGCCTTTTCATTTCGGGGGGAAAGGGGCGGACACGGCTGCATTGTAGCCGGAAGAGAGTTGAGCCCAAATAAACGGTATTTTACTTAGAGTGTAAGCTGGAAAGGGTGAGCAGGCATGCATGTGCGCTATCACTGGTGACGGTTGAATCACCAAATACGTGCTTTCTATATATATATATATATATATATATATATATATATATATAAAGAAAAAATCTTGTATTGTGAGTTGTTTTAATGTTAAGCTTTCTAATCTTTTACACAAACGCTTAATAATAACAGTCTTTATGTAGTTTTATTTTTCTACGCTGAAATACAGCCACCCAAATGTTGAAAAAGGAAGATCCAAAGAAGTCCCAATAAAATTTAAAAAAAAAGTAGTTTAATTCTCCCATTGCAACATATGCATTCTGGTAAAATGGCTCCTCTATCATAACAATTTTAAACATTCTATTAAAAAAATAGAACGTCTTCATCACAAATTTTTGTGTGACATTGATCGTGCTATAACCGATTTTTTCCCCTCATAGGTTTACAATTACTGCGAGACAGACGTGATGAGCAGCGTTCAGTCAGAAGCATTGCGGGAGGCTTACAAACGGAACTTCGAGCCGGACACTTACATAAATTTTTGTAAAGACTGCATTCTTCCTACTTACCAGCAAACAGAAATCCACCGCATATTTTATTCAGGTAGGCTCGGTTTATCGCTTCTGTGCTCTCGTAGCCTCTTTGATGATTTAACGAGAAATATTTAAGGTAACATACCATCTGTCTTTTTGTAACACGAACACAGATGCATGCATGCATGTTTGTTCTGGCTTATGGTGACACTCGGCATTGAATACTGTTTACATCATGAAGAAAGTTTCGTTGTAAGCATCTTTAATTCATAACAAGTATATATGCTTCCAGCACAAGTCTAGGCTTGTGCTGGAAGCATATACACTTGTTATGAATTATTTTATGGTTGTGATTCTCTGATTACTTTTATTACTCACTAATCACGCAAGGAATGTCATTACTTTCCAAAGCAATCTAATAAGTACAGTAAGGGTTACTACGTTTTTTTTTTATTAATCCGCGCCTTTTTTATATATGTGAGTTTAATGTTTTGCCATTACCAAGTACCTATGACTTAAACAAAAACGAGGGTTAACAATCGACAAAAGATATCTCCAAAATAGGGTAAGCGACGCAAGTTCATGATCTGCGCGCGTTTCATCACTGCGAATGAAGCAGTGATGAAACCTAAATTAAATATAACATTGAGCTAACCAGGTATGTGTATATATAGTGACTACAACAGGGATGAAAATACGTTTAGTGAGACCTACTACCCAAAGACAGCGCCATATAATCTGAGAAACGAAATCTATATGAAACCAAAACTACGAACCTACAAAATACCCGAGCTGAACAACCACCCCGATGTCATTGAGTAAATAAAAAGTTCTACTACACTTTTCTCCTTCAAGAAAATATGAAACATTATTTCCTGCCATTTTATGAATAGTGTTGTTAAACTGTTTATTTAATCATTTTCTGTTTATTTATGGGGCTGATTATCCGTTTTTTTTTTTGTTTTCTGTATTCATCCTTTTTAAACGATACTTTGCTTTGTAAGCGAAAGTTCCTAGCAATTTATTACTGTCAATTCTATGAACTGCCTTATCATGTATATTATTATTTATATGTGTGTACTTTTATTATTACTGTTTTTTTTTGTATAAAAATAATGTTTTGTGGACACGATATTGACACCATAGTTTTCTTTGCGTTCACTGCTGTATGCTGCTGAGCTATGCACAGGGCGGTGGGGCCTCGTCAGGTAAAATTTGTTTACCTTTTGCCCCTCCACCCGCGACTGAAGGAGTCCAAATAGAGATTATTATTAGGTTAAGGCGATTCAAGCTACTTCCATCTACCAAATGTGGTGATGACCTGTCGGTCACGAGCAAAATCTAACTTTGGGTTAACCGGGGGCTGGCGAGCCTCTCTAAGCTTGAGCGTAAGAAGAGGCAGGCGAGGTTCACTTGACGCGCTTTTCTCACAAACATTCGGATGAGAAAAATAAAATATTCATGCATGAAATCTGCGCGACTTATTACAACCGGAAGGAAGGTGTAAACAAAACCGGGTTGCGGGTCCCGGAAACCGTAAAGTTTTTGCGACTTCCCCTACCCGTTGTGGGAAACAATAAAGGGTTCTAGGGATTGAAGATAACGTAATAAGGCAGGAGAGCTGGTTAAGGTTAAACATTCCTTAAACCCAAGATGTAGGCTACAAAAGGGGGACAAACACAAGGGCCGTGTTCCAAAATTTACTCGATCTTACTCCAGGACAGGGATGAGCAGTATTTCAAATACAAGTATTTGAAATACGTATTTTGAATACTTTGTGTATTTTGCATTTGTATTTAATTACAAATTGGGTAATGTATTCGAAGTGTGTATTTAAATACTAAAACGTGGGTATTTCAAATACAATTGTAATTAAATACAATTTTGTGGGCGAAAATACATCCCTCAAATTTATTGTCACTGACCAGAGCAGGAAGAAAACTACGTTCTGCGCCGAATGCAGTGTCTCTCAATCAAGCACAAGCGTTTAGTGACTTTGTGATTACGGTGCTAGTCCAGGGCAAGAATAGTGACGAAATCGACGTTCACAGGCAGGCTGGCTAAATAAGTGCCCGTGACAACGTGTGATGCTTTCCAGCTTGATTTCCATCCATATTTTTGCCTGGAACGTTCTAAATGCGCGGGTCGTCCAGATATTCGTAACTGGTGCGAGTTGCAACAATAAAAAATTCTATAGCTAGTGCTGCGCATCTTGGTCGTCCCGGTTCTTTGTTGGTCTATACCAAAATGTAATCGAGAAAAAAATCTGCTTGAAGCTCTGTACTTTTTTCACGTATTACGTCCAAGCTGATTACATTTTTTGTGATTATATTTCTACTACGTTACTAGAGCCTCGCACACTAACTCCCGAGTCTGCGATGCAAAATTAAAATGAGATACCGAGAAACCCGTTGCCGGTGCCCTGAAGTCGCTCACGCAGATTTTGAGGAATGTATTTGGAAAAGTATTTGGAGGAGATCAAATACATTTGGTTGTATTTGTATCTTGTACTTAAATGCTTTTTTGGAAATGTAATTAGATTTGTAATTAAATACATTTCTGACGAAGTATTTCATATTTGTATTTCGATACATATTTGCATGTATTTTGCCCATCCCTGCTCCAGGGTAAGGGTTTTGTACCTTGGCGTTCTAAAACCTACCCGCGTCCAGCGCTTTTCAATCTGTGTTGTCACGTGACATGACCCGCCGGAGTAACTCGGATCCATTTGAGTAAGATTTGGAACACAGCCAAGACGTCTCTTGTGTTTGTCCCCTCTTTGTAGCCTCCGTCTTGAGTTTTAGAAATGTTTTGTTTTAGGGAACCGTTTTTGCAGATCCGATACGGTACAATGGGCCCTCCGGTACGAACTGCGCATGCGCTGAATCCCATAGGCGAAGTCCGTACCGGAGGGCCCATCGTACCATATCGAATCTGCAAAAGCGGTTTCCTAAAACCGTTGGGTTAGAAAGACTCTGGATGCGACATGAGGCTACCAGAGATGAAGCCAGAGGTGTGGAGGGACACGGCCCCAACGATGACCAAAACCAAGAGACGTGATTGGACGAAAAGGAGAACGTTCTAGCAGAGAGCTCTCCTTTTCGTCCAATTGCGTCTCTTGGTTTTGGTCATTGTTGGGGGCGCGTCCCACCACACTATAGTCACTCTAAAAAAAGCCCGTGAGTCTACTTTCACGCACAACACTCGGACAGCCAATCAGAGCAACTTACAGAGGCAGCTCAGCGAATGACGATGCCGAAACATATGTTTAGACCAAGAAACGCAGTCTGAGTTGTGACATTAAGCAATGCAAGCGTGACGTTTCGCAATGCTTAATGTCGCAACTCAGACTGCGTTTTTTAGTCTAAACATATGTTTCGACATCGTCATTCGCTGAGCTTCCCCCGTAAGTTGCGCTGATTGGCTCTCCGAGTGTTCTGCGTGAAAGGAGACGCACAAACATTTTTTCGAGTGTATAGTGGCTTCACCTATGGTTGCATCATGTCGCCTCGAGAAGCTTCCTACCTTCATGGCCAAAACTCTCTATCTCTAATATTGCAGTTTTGTATGGACGGTAGCTAGCCGAGATGCAGTCACTGACAGCTCAAAGAAAAGCATGGCGTGACGAGTGCAGGGCATCTCAGTATCACCCCGCAGCCAATGAGATTGCGGGATTGGCAGATAGGAACGCCGAAGAACCAACCACGAAGCAGGAAGCGTGAAGATAAGAGGCCATGTCCTGCCTTTCTCAGGGACCTCCCGGACCTTGAACGCGTCGCGATGCGACGGTGTGGACAGCCTTAAGGCGCTGGATAATCCAAGATAAGGCTGGAACGCATGTACAGTAACCAACCGAAAACTGTACTGAACTCGGAACATGCAAAACTTTTTTTGCGCTATTTTTAAAGATTGAGGGTATTTTTTCCACGCCAATCGCAGCTATGACCATGTTAAAAACATACTTGTGATTTCTGTACGTACGATAAATGCCCATGCCTGTGTATTTTTCTTAACAATGGCGTAAGTTTAAATTCTGATCAAGGACTGGTCAACATTTAATATTTTGATCGCCGGGGTATCGAATCGTCGAGTTGGAGCTGTGATAATGTAGTACGCATTATTGTTACGGGCACCAGAAAATCCCTTTATTAACAAGCCACTATCACCGACATTTCTAGCGCTGTTCCATTGTCCACAAAATGATACATGTACATCATTATCTGCTGGTTACGCCGAGTAGCGTAGCCATAGAAACCACTACCGATGCTTGGGCGTGGCCGAATGCCGCGACACCACTCTACAATATCAGCAACGGTTACTATGCTTACGCCGCTCAGCGGAGCGCCGCGACGCGGTTTCTGTCACATGCATTTCAAGCGTTAGCGTCTTGTAAAATTTTCAATTGGCGGTATCAACTATACCCAAGCTTGTTAAAGTGCCAGCTGAACGTTTTAAGGACACACACGCAGAGATGAACAAAAAAGGCAGACACACCGCTGGACTAGCAACTATTTTAATAAAATCTTCTTTCTCTTTAGTGCACAGCTAAACGGATTCTTCCTCTTCTTCTATATCTGAACCTTCGTCTTCCACTCTTCCTCTTCTCTCATGTGCCTGTCAAGTGTGCGGCTTTTCGCGGCACCTAAGCGTCGTGTTTTTTGAACAGATCTGGCGCAAGGAAAGACACTTCTGGAAGTCGGTGCTGGCCCCACGGTGAACTACGTGCTTTCGGCCACACGCCAGTTCAAGGACATCGTGCTTAGCGACGTGGTTGATGCGAACAGGATTGAGCTCGAGAAATGGCTGAGCAGAAAAGAAGACGCTCTCGACTGCTCCTTCCGTGCCGAGATGGTCGCGTCCTTGGAGGGATGTAGGTACGTGGTCGCGCACTTAGACACACTGAGCCGTTGAACGCGAGGTAACGATCGCACACATACATATTCCAATGTCGTGCGTTTCGTCTACGTCGTCATGCATGTTTCCTGCAGTCGAAAGAAGCTCCAAGCTCGAAATCAAAGATGACGGCGTACTATACGGGGTGTCCCCGAAGAAAAAAAATATTGTCAGAGTTTGTTTCTCCGCAAACGTAAACTATGCATCGCCGAACGCTCTTTCTCTGCCCAAGGGTAGCGCTAGATGTCTGAACCAGGTGCCGAAGTTTCAGCATGAACCGCTATTTTATTCAAAAGTTATAAGTTATATTCTGAAAATTTCAATGAGGAAATGGTGACCGACGGAACTCTCGAATACATGGAGCTCTATGGAACCAGAAACCGAAAACGGGCGAAAATGGACATCATTAGAGAGTTTTAGAATAGGGGGCCCCAACGCTTTGGGGAACCCAACGCTTTGGGGTACCCAACGCAACGACACCTCCCGCAGCGTGCTTATAGAATAGGGTTTGTCACGACGCAACGCGGCACGCTCGCCTTTTTCGCATGCAGCGCCATTGTGGACAACGAACGAACTTCTTAACAGTGAAAATTTATTAAAACGCAAAACATTTGCGCTGAAACGACACTTTATTGTGGCTTGCGGTTCAAGTAATAGGGAGGGTAACACCAGTTGGAACGGCACAGCAAGACCCATCTGCCGACCGTCTCTGAATCAGAAGATTTACTTCTCTGGTCCCAAGTAGGGTGCCTCAATGACCTTCTGTTTAGACTGATGCCACCCTTTGTAGTACCCGATGCCGACAGCACACGCTCACGGGGAAAGCACAAAGAAATCGACGAAAACAAAATGTCGCCATAGCACAGTCAGCGCCACAGACGCGTGCAGGGACACGCTCTTTCACGCGCTTCTGAACAAAAAATAAATGTAAAAGTGGGAACAAAATGGCCAGATGTCTCCACCCGAAGCAAAGCGCACATGAGGGCACCTATAATCACAAGAGAGTGCACGCCCTCAAATACCAGGCTATCATATTCCCCAATGGAATTATCTGCGAACTCGACGGGGCCATTCCCCGGTCACAGGCACGACGCTGGTAGGTGTAGCTTGCTCTTAGCTCATCCTGTAGCTGAAGCAGCACGACAGTTATAGAGAGTTTTATAATAGGGTGTCCCAAAGCTTTAGACCCCAAAGAAATAGGGGCTCAGCACTGCGCATGCGTAGAACCCAAAATCTTTTTGGGGTTTTGGGTTTGCTCGCGCCCCCAACGTGAATTTCGAGAAATAGCGTGGGGCCCCCCAAGTGCTTGGGGCCGGGTTGTGTCGGCAAACATGGCGGCGCCCTTTCCGCTCGCTTCGGTGCAAATTCGTCATGGTCGCTGCAGTATTAGCCAATTTCATTGCCAATGAGTAGTGCAACCGGCTTTCGCTTTGCTTAATCTCGCTCAAGTCACAAAGAATGAGCGGTGGGCTCACCCCATTTTAAAGATCGTACCCGATTCTGGCCGTTCCTAAGCCTAAACATACGTCGTAATTGTTGACAAGGTGACGTATTGCTACGCCGTGGCAAAAGGCTCGTTCACACAGACCAGTTTTTTTTTTTTTTTACGTTACGAAAAGTCACCGGGAAATCTGTGCTTCGTATTAAACTGTGCCAGCAGCAGGTCGACCCGAGCGTGGAGAAATTTCTTCCGATTGCTTCGGAGACCCTTTCGGCAATTGAAGTCCATCTCCTGGAGTCCTGAAATGGGTTAGTGGCGTACACTTCGCGTAGCACATAAATGCCATCGTCGATCAAGAAGCGAACGCGCCATTTTCTTCTGGCCTTGGATCGGCCTCGACTCGTTCGGCCATCCCGCTTCGGGTGTAGCCGAAACAATCCAATCCGTAGCGCTCTAATCTGGCGCTTGTTCTCGTAGTAACATAGAGAGTTGAGCTAGCTGGTACTTAGAAGACATACCTAAAACAGCGCACAAGCACAGGAGGAAGATAACAAAACACAGGAAGGGGCGCTGACTCCCAACTTATGTATTGTGAAAGAAAGAGAAAGAGGAAGCTTTAGATATGAAGCCCACGTTATTGTTTTTCTTCCTTCTTTTTTCGCATCTTTTTTTTCGTCGTGACCTTATAATGTCAGTTTTATCCTTTTCTACTGCAACTTAGTAATTTATATGTCTTTATTCTTTCTTTTTTATACCTTGTGGGTGCGCGCGGGCTTCATGTCTGAGGCTTCCTCTTTCTCTTTCTTTCACAATACATAAGTTGGGAGTCAGCGCTCTTTCCTGTGTTCTATTTTCCTTCTCCTTTGCTGACGCGCTGTTTTAGGTATGGCTCGTACTCGAATTTTTCGTGCGTTTGTGTGCGCTTTGAACATATGCAGCCGAAGATTTTGGAATTCAACTATGCCGAGACTGAGACGAAAGCGAGCACGCATACTCTGCGAGCAGCTGCACTATTTAAATCTGAGCTGGAGCGACTTTGAAGCCTTGAAATACTTGTTTTCAAGATGCAGGTATCGTGCCACGAACGAAACCTACTTGGAGCCACGGAGTAGCAATACGGTTGCCATGTCAACGGTTATCGCGTATGTTTAGGCTTAGAAACGGCCAGAATCGGGGACGGTCTTTAAAATGGGGTTAGCCCACCGCTCATTCTTTGTGAATAGAGCCAGATAAAGCAAAGAGAAAGCGGTTGCACAATTCATCGGCATTGAAATGTGCTAATACTGCAGCGACCATGACGAATTTGCTCCGAAGCGAGCAGAATGGGCGCCGCCATGTTTGCCGACGCAACCCGGCCCCAAGCGCCAACCCAAAGCCTCAAACGGATTTTGGGTTCTGCGCATGCGCAGTGGTGAGCCCCTATTTCTTTGGGGCCCCCAAGCTTTGGAGACCCCTATTTTAAAACTCTCTATTAGAGAGTTTTAGAATAGTCATCCTCCACTGGCCTTCTCGTCTCTACTGACTCCGCGTGCCTCCCCGGCGTGACAAATCGGCGAGCCTACCAGGATCCACCATCTTTCCATACACTTAATCACGCCGGGTTGGGTGCGGACGGATCAGTGGAGCTGAGTTGGACGTGATGGTTACACAAAGTTTGATTGCGGTAGGAAAAGAGTTGGGCTGCCAGGGAGACGAGCTTAAGAAATGGGTGGAGGAGGAAAGAGAGAGACTTAAAGAGGAAAGAGCCGAGAGGGCACGAGAGCGTGATGCCGCAAGGCTAGAACCAGAAGGTGAATGACTACGATTAGAAAAAGAACAAGAGGTACTTCGACTAAAATTAGCTTTACAGCAAGGCGCGGCGGCCAGCCAGGAGGGAAACCCTAATAACGGTGAAGGAGGGGTCGGCGGGCAAGCACAACGTGGGAGTCCGCACAAGCTAATCCCTCAATTTAAAGAGGAAAGAGACGATTTGGACGCCTATCTGAAGCGGTTCGAGCGAACAGCAACCGGACTAGGATGGCCGCAACAGAAGTGGACGAAAACTTTTGGATTGTGCCTTACCGGGGAACCCCTGACTGGGGTGGGGCGGCTCTCCCCCGGGACGCACTGGATTACACGCGAGTAAAGCTGGCCTTATTTCAAAGGTTCCGCTACACAAAAGAGGGGTACAGGGAAAAGTTCAGAGAGGCAAAGCCAGAGGATGGAGAAACAAGGAGGCAGTTTGCCGCCCGTCTAGCGGGTTATTTCGATAGGTGGGTAGAAATGGCGTAAGTAGCAAAGACTTTCGAAGCCCTACGCGATGCGGTCTTGGTGGAGCAGTTCCTTGTAACGTGCTCTAGCAAGTTATCAGTATTCCTCCGAGAGCAAGAATGCCGAGATTTGGACAAAGTGGCGTCAAAAGCAGATGTATTTCTTGAGGCGCAGGTTAAGCACGACACCAGCAAGCTGAAAGGTAACGAGTCAGTTAAGAATACGAATGCGGCATCGCACAGAGATACAATAACCAGTGCAGGCAGGAGAGTGTTGCGTTGCTTTCTTTGCAACAGGATCGACCATAAAGCTGAAAACTGCCGCAGTCGTCCGCCAAGGCTTGAAACCCCGAAATGTTAGAAATGTGGTAGGACCGGGCACCGGGCCGAAGGCTGCACGTCCAAACCAAGCGAGAGGCATCAAGCGTCGTGCTTGTGGGCTGACCCACGGGGAATAAGTCAGCTGAGATTGATGACGGTTTTGTTACCCTCAGGAACGGAGAGAAAATACCCGTTGTTAATACGGTAGTGAGACGCCCTCCAATCTGTCTAAGTGAGAATTTGCCAGTTGTGGAGGGATATATTGGTGACCGCAGTGTATCGGTATTGAGAGACACGGGCTGCAACACGGTAATAGTTCGCCAAGAGTTGGTCCCAAAAGAAGCGTTGACAGGAACGCTGAATCCAGTGTTTCTCCTGGACAAGACGGTACGATATCTTCCGGAAGCTGAGATTGTCGTCCGCACACCACATTTTACGGGGAAACTAGTCGCAAAATGCGTGAGGGATCCTCTTTGCGATCTGGTGTTGGGCAATATACCGCCGGTACGAGACGTCAACGATCCAGATCCAAATTGGGACTCAGAAAAACAATCGAGTCAAACTGATGTATTGGTGTCCAAACCTCTTGATGAGGGAGAAAATGGAATTAGAGTGGATCATTCGAAACAAGCCCAGGTAACGTCCAGACAAGCGACTTTGTTGAGAAATGGTAAAGAGCAGTCCCTGAACACCGCAGGAGCGGTGCAGGTCAAGACGGGTAGGAATCAATCGCTACCACCGCCTCCCGAATTAAGAGTACCACAAGTTTCACCTTTGCATACAACCTCAGAGGAGCTGCGAGGTGCGCAGAAAAATGATTCGACTCTGAAGAAATGCTCCGAAAGCGTTGGAAAGATCGTCAAAAAGCATAAAGAAAGGACGAAGTATGCATTCTTTATGAGAAGCGGGGCGATGTACAGAGATTATACGTACAGCTCGGGTAGAAGAACGGAGCAGTTGGTGCTTCCAA